CAGACAGACAGAGAGGCAGACAGAAAGACAGACAGAGAAAGACAGAAACAGATTCAAAGACAGAGACAGACAGACAAGAGGAAACCCCTTCCCCTTCACCTTCCCCAGCGTGAAGGCGCCGGCCCAGAAGGCCCTCGCCCCTTACCTGCGTCTCACACAGGTACACCGTCTTGGAGGCCGGCTTCATGGGGTGGTCGTTGAGGTCATCCACGATGAGGGTGAGGAAGTAGGTCGCCGCCAGCCCGCCCGCGTCGCTCACCGTCACGCCCACCTGGAGCGTCCGGTGCTCCTCCCTGTCCGCGCTGCTCACCAGCCACACCTCCGCGCCCCCACGCCCGCTGTCCAGGTCTGTTGCGGGCGGGCGGGGTGGGTAGGGGGGCACCGGGGGTTAGTTCGCGAAATCGGGATTCCTCTCTCATTCTCATTCTCTCTCTTTCTCGCATTCTCTCATTCTCTCATTCTCTCATTCTCTCTCTCAATCTCTCTCTCAATCTCTGTCTCATTCTCTCTCTCATTCTCTCTCACATTCTCTCTCTCTCTCTCTCGCTCTCTCTCGCTCTCCATCAACCTTCCTATATATATATACACATACGTAGAGAAAGGGAAAAGAAAGAAAAACAGAGACAAGGGAGCAAGAGAGAAGAGTTCCACGAAGGCACTTACAAGGATTGAACTTGAGGTCGACCTTGTCAAGGACGTGCGCGGGGTTTCCGGGCGCGAGGGAGAGGTTGAAGGGCGGCCCGTGTCCCAACGCCCACACGTCCTCGTCGTCGGCGGTGAGGGTAGCGAGGAGGGCGGGCGTGCGGGCGTGCTCCTGGACGTGGATGACTGTGGGCGTGGCGAGGGTGGGCGGGCAGTCGTTGACGTCGGAGATGACGACGGTGAGGGTGGCGGAGGCGGTGAGCGGGGGCGAACCGCGGTCCACCGCCAACACCTCGGCGACGACCACGCCCCCGTCGGAAGACTCGCGGTCCAGGGCGCCTCGCAGGGTCACGGTGCCGTCCGCACTCACGGCCAGCGCTCCCCTCGCGCCCCTCAGCTGGTACTCCACCTCCTGCCGGCCGCCCTGCGAGAACGAACGGAGGAATGGCGCAGCGGACTCTGAGGAAGGGCGGAGTGAGACGGCGGGCAGGAGGAAGGGAGTCCTGCCTGCGCTTCGGCGAGGAGGACGTCCCATCGCTAGTGCGCATGCGTGTGGTGTTTGTTCGTGCGTGTGGATGAGTGTGTGGACGAGTGTGTTTCAGAGTGCATATTAAGTGGTTTAAGAGCACACGCTGCAAATTCTCTCCTCTCGCTCTCATACAAATACAACTTAATGTCATAGTATTCTGTGCCAGCGACAGTTACTCTCAGCGTACGCCAGTCACCTCTCTTACATTTCTATCTGTCCGTCTCTCTCTCTCTCTCTCTCTCTCTCTAAATAAATAAATACAAGAGACAAAATGAGACAAAAACACAATTTAATATCCACAAATAAACGAAAAATGATAAAACCAGCCTTTCACAACCTGCAAGCCAAAACGCAAAAGAATATTCTTCCCTTTCTTTTCGTTCCCTGCCAATAAGCCCACAGGCTTTCGAGTCGCCTTCTATGCTTGAGTCGAAGAAGGGATCAGGAAGGCTTGTAACAATCCTCTGTTACATGGGGGGGGATTATACCCACGCAAGCCGCTTCCGTTACATTCATCTATACACCCACACACGCATACACACACATATACTCCACCACTCCTTCAATCACTCACTCTTCCTCTCTCTCTCTCTCTCACTCACACACACACACACACACCCCTACAAATGTAGTGAACATCGAAAATATCACCCTCAAAAAGAATGAAATAAAAGATCTACTAAAAGAATTAGACAAGACCAAAGCAGAGGGATCATGTGAAATTTCTAACTGGGTTCTCAGGCAATGTGACGAAGAACTATGTCTTCCTTTATTGTTAATATTCTAAAATTCAGTGAGGCACGGTAAACTGCCAATAAGTTGGAAACTCGCCAATATTACACCCTTATATAAGAGCGGCGACAAACAAAACCCGCTAATTTAAAGACCAGTTACGTTAACTAGTGTCTTATGCAAGTTGTTAGAAAGGATAATTAGGGAACAATGGGTTGAAGTACTTGAAAAACACGAAATGATATCAAATAAACAATTTGGTTTTAGAGAAGGAAGGTCATGTGTAACAAATCTCTGTTTTTATGATAGTGTATCTGAAATATTACAAGAAAGAGACGGCTGGGTGGATTGTGTACTTGGAATTGAAAAAGGCTTTTGATAAGGTATCTCATAGAAGAATACTATGGAAATTAGAGCACCTAGGCGGGATGAAAGGTAAACTACTCATATAGATGAAAGACAGATAAGTACAGTAATTAGAGTAACCAGCGGAGTGCCTCAAGGATCGGTGTTGGCGCCGATTATGTTTATCATTTTCGTCAATGATTTAGAGTCAAACATAAGCCCAGGTAGTTATCTGAATATGTTTGCAGACGACGCGAAGATACAAAAAAGGATAACAAACAACGTCTCATGCCAATGCTTTCAAAGTGACATTGAGAACTTATTCACGTGGAGTTGTACCTGGAAAATGGAATTCAATACCAATAAATGCCACGTAGTCAGGTTTGGATAAAGTAGAAATCGCCCACAATTCCAACAGCGGACAATAGCTGATAGGGAAAAAGATCTTGGGGTAATCATAAATAGAAACCTAAGCCCAAATGATCACATAAACGAAACGGTCCACAAAATGCTAGGACTGACTGAAAAATTGAAGAGGCCGTTCGTGTATGTGGACGAAGATATGGTAAAGATGATCATAAGACCTAATCTTGAGTACGCTGCAGTGGCATGGAGTCCACACTTCAAAAAGAGATTCAGGCAAACTGGAAAGAGTTCAAAGAGCAGCCACAAGAATGGCACTTACTCTAAGAGATATGGGTTACGAAGATATACAACAGAGTGAGAGCGAGAACGACAGAGTGGAAATGAGTGCCACAAGCCAGGGCGACCGAGCACCCACCTCGTCGGGATCACGGGCAGGAAGGGCGGCGAGGGACGTCCCAGGGGCCGCGTCCTCCCTCAGGGTGACGTGGGCGGCGGGCGTGAGGAACTCCGGAGGGTTATCGTTGAGGTCCAGGAGCGTGATGGACACCCACCCGGCGTCCAGGTGGCGTGGGTTGTCCCAGCCCCCCCGGCCCTGGGGGGAAGTTGAAAGGTCAGACGGGGCTCTCTTGCACGCACACGCACGCATATACACGCACACGCACTCACATACACACACACACACGCACACACACACACACACACACACACACGCACACACACACACACACACACACACAGAGAAACGCATACACACATTCTGCAGAGTGAAAAATCGTATTTACGAAAGAAGAGAAACAAACAACGATGCAAACAATTCGACGGCCCTCTCGTGGGCGCGAGGAGCCGCAACCCGAGAGGCCACGATCTCGCCCTTACCCTGTCGGTGACCTGAATCATGATCTTGAAGCCCCGCCTGTGCGCCTCGTTCTCGTAGTCGAGGGCGTGGCGAGCGAACAGCTGACCCGCCGCGCCCTCCGTCCTCACGCCGAAGTGCTCCCACCCCCACCCGCTGCCCTCCACCAC